GGAATCCTTTGGAGATTAATACGTTTGTGAGAGTGTGTAATTCAGTTTTCAGGTGGTCTTTATCGGCTAGGCATTTGGTTCTGGTGATGAGGGTCTTGGCTACAGAGTTGATCTGTGCAGGGTGGTGATGGGATTGTGCTTTTAGCTAGCGGTTGGTTTTTTTTTCCTGGTAGATGGTGTGTCCTAGGGAGCCAATGGGTTGTCCTAATCTACAAAAAACCCAGCCCTAATCAACAAATGAGCCCCACCCACCACCCAGGCCGTTACAAAACAAAACAACGGCAGACACACAGCCAGCACCAATCTACCAATCATGATACAACTACACAGCCAATCAATCTACTTACTGAAACAAAGCCAGCACTCAACACACTCCACCAAGATTTATAGAAAGACAGCAGCTCTGATCACGGTTTACGGACACAAACACGAAGCCGAAAACATCAGCCTGAAGACAGCGAGTGAGACCTCGCCGAAACGTTGCCAAGACAATATCAAACTTACACAGGAAAAGACCTGAATACAACACCAGCACGCACACACAAATCATTTTATTTTTGAAAATTTCAGACCCTTCAGATGGCCTCTGGGAGCCCCTTGAGTTCTGTATATGAGCAAAACAGAGAATTGCAGTTTCTCTTGGTGAGTATTGCAACATTATTTCCCAGTCAGAAAATAATGCTTAGCTGAGTAATAGCAAGGATGATTGCGAGCTAAAAACTCAACAGTCCTCTTTGAAATGGAATCAAGGTAGAATTGTTAAACATGCTTTAAATGAATGTTTTTAATGTGTTAATGCTTAAATGTTGTGGAAATTTCAGTACCATTTTTATTTTGTGTGTGTGTGTGTGCATCTGGTCACACAAGTATATGTAATGCATTCTGCTGAAGAGCAAACACCCTTAATGGGATAGTTTAATACAGGCAGCAGCCTGTATTAAATAGCCGTGTGTGTTGCACTCTGCTGTATCAAGCCATGACTTTAGACTTCTTTCTTTTTGGATGATGGCGTTAGAGTTTGGCTGAGACGTTGAAGAATGGACTAACAAAATGTCCGAAGAGTCTGGGAAGAAAATCTGCTGTTGAACTAGTGCAGAAACTTTTGAAAGGTAATGCTAAGCATTTTGGATATAATTCCCTTGAAGTCTTAACTGAAATATCTGTAATGGCTGCGTTTGCATTGCACACTTGGTCTGCTGAATAAACTAGAGTGGCTGCATTCACACAGCATGTTAATCCCAAAAAGAAAATACCACATATGAGCCAATATGTGGCATGTAGGCAAGTGTGCCACATCATCACAAATTGATGTATTCAGGAAATGTTCCCTCCAGCCAAAGTTTCATGACAGCAAAGTATGTTCCATTGCATTAAAGCTGATGGCCATAGTACATAGCTTTCTTTTTTTTTCTTTTAGACTTAAAAGATGATGATACTGAAAATGAAGATGATACTGAGGTATTTGGTAAGATAGTGAGTAGAAAAATATTCCCTCAGAACTCTAGATTGACTGAAGACTGTTTCAATATTGAAGCTTTCAGTGAGTTTTGCTTCAACTAGAATGGCAAAAATAACAGACATACTTTTGGGAAACCTATTTGCAAGCCTGATATAAGTAGTCGTTGTTTAGCAACTGCCTCCTGCAGTGGCCATTTTGTTACTCAACACCTCTAAACTTAAATGGAATGCTGGGAGGGGACTAGAAATGGCAGAAGTTATATTAGAAGTGTCAATCACCCTTTCTTGGAGGGTTGATGGCAAAAGTGTGTTATATTTCCTGCCACCTTCATAGTTTTTTAATGCACTTTGTTATTTTGAACCTTTAAAATTCTATTTCTAGTTTTCTTAATCACATAAATATATGGTTACAAAATTTCTTTGAACTGTGATGTTTAAATAACTAAAATAGTAATTCCTGTTTCAATTTGAAATTCATTTTCCCTTTGTTAATTTTCCAGGATAACACTACAACAATCAATGGTTCCATGAAAACACATTTTAGTCAGCGCAGAGACCTTGATTTCCTTGAACTGCTGTGGTGCAATATATGGAGAAGTATGTATGTTTCTAGGTTCTGTCTCAAAAAATTTTGAGATGCTGTCTTTAAGGGGACCAGGGAAGGATTTCTATTAATTTACCTGGTCTACGTTGAGTTTGGTTACTGCTTTATTTAATACTTGACTCCCCCCGTCCCCCAGATGTTGCTTCGCATGAGGAACTGGTGAAGTGTTTTTCGTTGGTAATAAGAGCCCTTCAGCATGGAGAACTGCAGACATGGGTGAGTCGGAGTAACAAACCTGGAATGCAGGCAGAGCCATACTGTTCTTCAGCATGCCCAGCCTTTTCGAACCAGCCTTTGCACATTGCAGGTGATGCGATGTGCAAAGGGCTGCACCCTCTAAAACCAGGGCAAGATTAGGACCAAGAACTAGGCAAAACCAAATCAAAACCCAAGCTGAATGCAGTTACAGGTATTCCTTGACTTATGACCATTTGTTCAGTGACCATTTGAAATTATGAGGGAACTGAAAAATGGCCTTACGACCTGTGCTCAAATTACAGCAGTTGCAGCAGTTCCATGTCACATGATCAGTATTCAACCACTTGGCAGCCCACTTGCCCTTATGACCACAGAGGCACTTCAACACCCACCCCCCAAACCTGCCTCCCCCCCATCTCTGCTCTTTTGGCTGCCCTGTACCCTGCCTTGTGAGGTGGCACAACCCCCCCCCCCCCAACAACTGCAGTGCTCTGCAGGTGCTGCCATGCCCAGAAAGCCTCAGCAAGCATTCATTTGCCTTCTCTCCCACCAACCTTTCACCTGTTGTTCCCAGCATCCCACTGAATTTGCTTTCTTATTTTCAGACCCAGCCACTCACTACATGTAGCTAAAGCTGTGCTACCTTCAGAAAAATTTGTGAAGATAGGGCAGCTTTAGCCACTTCAGGAAAGGGGAGGGCTGGAGAACCACATGGGGCTGGGGAGAGAAGGCATGTTCTATAGATGGATGTTTTTAAAAAAATGAGAATTGTATAAATTAGGAACTCCCTGGTTTGGGATTGCTTGATAGAGGTTAATGAGTCCTCCATTCTCAAATATTCTTAATAATATTACATTGAGCACTTAATAGAAATCAGATCCCTTAGATTTTGGTTGCACTATTTTGGGTTCACTAGTCAGACGTAATAGGCATTAGCATCCTATTATGGCACAACAGTATCATGTATTTTTTTTTTAAATTCTGGCTTAGGTCTAATTCCCGTTAAACTCCAGATTTCCCAAACCAGTTAAATAAAATGTGGCTTGCTAGGAGATATCAATCCAGTCAAATAGTCTTTCCTGGCCAAGTATATGTACTTAATTGCTAGAAATAATGTTAGGTACTCAGAGGACTTAGTTTGTTTTCCTTTTTCTTCCTGCTGATCTTTACAGCATTTATATCTACTCGGGTGGTGTTCAAAAAGTCAAGATGGCAGCCACAACCATGTGATTAACACCCCATCGCATGGAAGTGTTTTTAATCTGATGTCTTACATTTCCCCAGACAATATCTTTCCTTCCTTTTTCAGGAGATTTGCTTCTGAGGCTTGGGCTGGATAACACACTCCTTCCCTCTTTCCATCTTCTAATCCCCCATCCTTCCACGATTCCATCTCTGTGCTTCAACCTTTTTTATTCTGATTTAATCTGTGCCCTGTGCATGAGGGAGTCTCAAATATTCTGGTCTCACTTTGTGATTCTTTTCCAAACTGAGCTTATCGTGAGACTGGAGGTGCTGGTTGGCAACTATATTTTGGTTGAACGGTGGGAGCAGGCTTATTTTGTACACTTAAAATGTGTAATTTATGTAAAATTTCAAATTAGATTTATTTCAATAGCTATTTTGATATATTTCTGGATATACTATATAGAGCAGGAGGATCTATGTAAAACATTTGTTCTTTTTGTAGATTCATCAAGAAAGTAACAGTTTACTGAGCAAATTGATCAAGCAGTCTTATCATGGAAAAATGGAAACAGTTTCTCTTGATGGAGATTCTCCCATTCAGATGCTTCTAGAAATAGGCATGGATAAAATGAAGAGAGACTATATCAGCTATTTTGTGGGTATGTTGGCTACCCATCCTGATTTTGGGTAGTTGTATCCAAATGATTTATCTTTCTGTTTTAAAAAAACAAGATATTAGTATCTTGTCAACTAATACCAAGGGTGAGCAAATTACTTATCAGACATCAAATGTATTGATTTAATTTACAAACTAACAAATAGAAACTTTTTCTGAACGAATTTTGATTATCTGACATTGCTGGATGCCTCCCCACAGTCACTTTCCCCTGCCAAACTCTGAACTAGGGAAGGAAAAACTCTAGCTGTCTCTAATTCCAGTTTTTCTTTCAGTTTTTCAGAGGGTCCCAATAATGCAAACATGGAGGCAAATGTCATTGTCTCCAGCTTTTGGTTTTCTAATTTTGTAATAAATGAAGGCTTTCATTGCAGCTTTTAGCATTTATTTTGTATGAAATTGTGATACAAATTATATTTTTTGTGTTTCAGGCAAAGAATTTGCCATACGGACTCATTTGGTAAGTCATAGTCCCCACTTTCCAAATAATATTATATAAATAGTTCTTGACTTATGAACACAACTGGGACCAGAATTTCCATTGCTAAGCAGAGTGGTTGTTAAATGAGTCACTTCCAATTTTATGACCTTTTTTGCTACAGTTATTAAGTGAATCACAAGACCATTAAGTAAATCTAGGTACCCCATTGATCGCTTGTTGGAAGCCAGTGAGGAAGGGCGCAAAGAACAATCACATGACTCTGGGACTCTGCTGGTTGCCAAGTGCCTGGGTTTTGATCACATGACCATGGAGATGCTGCAATGCTTAAAAGTGGGAAAGAAACCCGGTTGTACGTCACTTTTTCAGCACCGTTGTAACTTTGAATGGTTGCTAAAAATGGCTGTCGAGAACTACCTCTACTTGAGAGTTGAATAGCGACAGATGTCTGGCGTGGAGGGCATTGGGGAGATTCTTACTAGATTTTTGCAACTGAGGCTGCCTACATATTATTATTTACCCAATCCTTAGGAAAGTTAGCCTTTGATTAAGATTACGGATGCTGTCAATAGCTCCTGATGCTTGTCCTCTGCTATCTCTTTCAAAGGACTACTTCATGTCCACTTCAGTAGGTCTTCAGGAACAGGCTCATCGTATCCAGAAACTACACCACATGTTGGAAATTGTGGACAACTGCATGAATCTTATCAAACTAGAGCAAGAGAACCTCATCTTTCTCACACAGTAATTACTTGCCAGCAACTTTCGCTTAATAAGAGGGTTCCCTTGAATAATGTGATGTTTGGCGTGGTTTTGCTTCACAGAGTTGTGCAAAAAGTGTGCAGCTTCTACGCTTCTTTCTGCACTGGGAGAAAGAAGGCTAAAGGAATATTTCAGCAGTATGGGGAACACCATAAATTAATAGTTACTGAATTGTTTTGATCCTTTAAAAGTGGCATTTCATTCTTGCCCTCATTTTCAATCCTATCTTTGTGTTAAATCAAGAGGCGGGGGAAGAAACTCTATTCTTCCCATTATGTCCCTAAAGTCACAACACAATTTATTTTTGAAAAGAGAGTTCTCCCTGATGTATGCTATTTAAAAAACATCTCCAAGGAGTATTGAGTGGCGAATATACTTTGAAATTGAAAGTTTGGATGTGAGATCCATTTTTTGCAAGGGTTTAAAGTTTAGAGCAATCCCTGAAAAACTTAAATCCCTTTCAAACTTAAAAGACTTCTCAATTGTCACAGAACAAATATTTTGAGACTTGTGTATCCATGTTTCTTACCAAAGTAAAAACTTAAATCTGATATAACACAGAAATGTATTTGATATGACTGGAAAGTGATCATATGTATTGCATTTGATTAAGTATGAAAAATAGAATCAACTTTAGTTTTTGGCCTAGCTTTGCCTACTTGTTTTGATCTGCTTATTCTTTGGCTCATGTAGGCTACCTTGTGGGTGAACTTCCCAGCTTGGGTATAATTAGTGTCTTTTTCTTTTTCTTCAGTTCAGTCCAAGTTTCTTCTTCCTGGAAGCTGTTAGAGTCATGAGTCTCCATTGTGTTCACTTACGTGCTACTTTTGCATGTTCGTCATAATATCTATAAATTGCTATTTATAATATTAAATACAAATATATATTAAATATAACTATAATTGCATGTATTGAACAGAAATCGGAAGATGCCACTGGTTTTGATTTACATTGTAATCTACATAAGTTCTCTAATATATTTTTCTAAGAATTGATGGTGTGAAAATGTTTTTGTTTTTGTAGATCTTGTATCAATTATTATAAAGAAAATCCTCTGAATGAAAAGCATGCATTTCAGCTACCAGTCAGGACAAGTTTGTTGAAGGAATTTTACCAAAAGTAAGTTAAGTCCTCAGGGAATTAAAGCCGATCAATTGGCACAGAAGTAATAATAATTGTCAGGTAAAGGTGGGCAGTAGTATGACATTTGTAATGTCATGTAGGGCTTCAGAGGTGACAACCAGCACCCTGAATTGCACTCAGAACTTAACAGACTGCCAGTGCAGCTCTCGTTATAATGGGGTGGATGGACAAACCACAGTGTGCCCATTATTACCTGGGCTCCTGGATGCTGCGCTAGCTGTAGTTTCCAGTTGGTCTTCCAGGACAGTCCCACTTAGAACATACTACAGTAATCCATCTGTGATGAGACTGTGAATAAAGTCAGCTAATCAAGGAAAGGCCACCATTGCTGCACCAGACGGAGTTATTCACCCGCCCTCCTGGCTACAACTTCCAGGTCCTGTTCAAGTTGAATCCCAAGATTCCCCAAGGAGTGTCCAGTTCCATTTGTCAAAGCACTCTCCTTTCCAGAGTCAACGATGAATTATTGTGTGGGAAATACCTGCCAAGGGAGAACGGAGGGAGTAAAAAGACATCCTGGTATGGAATCTGTTTTTCCAGGGGAGGAAACAACAGAGACCAGGCTATGAAAGTCTATTCCCAGTTTCTCAGGGGTTTGCAGTCAGTTTTGCAAGATTCTGATAAATAGGTGATCAATAACCAAACAATTTTGGCCCATTCACAGAGTTGTTCTGATTCTTTGCGTCTGACAACTGTCTCGGGACTTAAGCTGGCATCCAGATCCAAGCTAGGATCCCTATTCAGATCTAACAGTTTGCAGGTAGCAAGTGAGGATTTCTACTTGTCCCCTGTCAGCCTACTTTGGATATGTTATTAGCATATTGGTGATGCCTCACCCCATCCTAAAAATAACCTGTCCCAGTCATTTCATCTGGGTGTTAAATAGTAATGGGGAGAAGACTGAGCCCCACTTAATGGGGTGGCTGACAGCTTGACCTTCACTCCCTGTCTCAGCTGACTGGAAGCAGTTGTAAGGCATCTATCTCTCTGACTTAAGGCTCTCGGCTTTCCTTTGTAGCTACAATATTTAGAGGTAGTCTTGAGATCTGGCTACCTGCAGGAGACCCTTAGGTTTTACCACCGAGCTTTCCAAATATATGCACCTCTTTAATATGGTTCAATTCTTACCTTTTTTTTTTTTACAGTGCTCATCCTCAGATATGGAGAGTGGCAATCAGCAGCGGTCAAGGACCAAAAAGGGTGAAAACAATATGGCAACTTAGCAGCACCTCTCCAACTGCACACCTGCAGCCAGCCAATGGAGGTGAGGAACTTTTGCAGTCTGGAATCTAGAATGGCATTAGCTTTTATGTTTTATTCATTACCGCTGCTATTGTAATCAAAGCCCTGTTTTGAAATTTCCTTCTGGAATTAATTAGCAGATCACTTGGTGGCATGTGGCATATAATATTTTGTGTCCCTCTGTTTATTCTCTGGCTTCTTATCTATGGAACTTATCCATCTTTCTATTTGTTTTGGGTGTTCTATTCTAACAGGTGGCATCCACAGATCTAGATAAAATTGTGTTTTCTGTCTATGAGAAGAATGCCCTTGTTTTGTTTTCCTTTTGGTTAAAATAACTAGAACCCATAGTTGACCTTCTGTCCTATTTTCTTCTTATGTTTGGGGAAGTTAGTTTCCAGAGTGAATAGATTCTGACTTTCTTGTTTTGCATAATTTTAATTGGCTTCATAGCTGAGAGACTGTCCAAATCTTGAGCCATGGATGTATCTCCCCAGAAGAAATTATGTCAATAAAATTCCCCTGTAACCTGAAAGAGCCCTCATAAGTAAGCCTCCCATCCAAGGCAGTTAAAATGTTTTTTTTTGTCCCCCCCCCCCCCGCCCATGTTTGTTACCATTGCCTTTTGTTCTGCAGATTCACTGGATGACACCAAAGTCTGTGGCAACGAAGGGAAGCATTTTATCACTCTTTCTGAGTGCTCTCAAGTGGACTTCATCAAATGAATGTGCAATTCATGATTCTTTTCTACACCCAGAAAGAGTTGCATTGTTGTGCTTGCTGCATTTGTTGAAATTCTTTAGCTGAGGGCAGGTTGAAAGGAAAAGCGCATTTTAGTGGACAGCAGCCATAACTGCCCTTGATGGATGCTTCCTTCCCCATCAAAGGAGGAAAGCTCAGAAATTCCTTACTGCTCCGAGTAACAAAAAACAGGTGAGAGATGCAGCAAAAAGGCTTCTCTTCTTTTGTTAACGACATTAATAAAGGCAATTCAAGGAACACTTCAGCATTTTGGAATTCTATTAGGGATCTGATGTCTGTAGAGATTTCCTCTTACTGGGATGGTGATCCAGCCAAATCTTGGAATTGGGAACAGTCAGCTTTTGGGAAATGCCCCTTAGCCAAAAGTATCAAACAATTTCAAGCTCTGGTTTGCAAAAGTAAAAACTGTTATTTTGGAACCTCCAAAATAATCCCCCCCTCTCTTTATTTTTCATTTCATGCTCACCTTGCCATTAATTCAGAAAGCATTGGGAGCCTATGTATATGCATCATGCTGGCTGGGAAATTCTTGAAGTTAAGGTCCAGAGGTCCTAAAGTTGCCAAGGTTGGACACCCCTGAGATACACACTTAAAATATATGCTGCTCTTGTGCTCACGCAGGCTTAAGAAAACCCTGCTTAGACTTTGGCAACAATTTGCAGCATACAGATACACTATCCTATCCCAAGGCTACAACCTCCTCTTGTTGCTGTGCCATCCCAATTTTCTACTCTGGGAAAACCAGTTTCTTATCTCTGTGAGAAGAAGTGTGTATATGCTTATAGTACGTGTGCAAATGCTCACACATAAGCCTAAAAACAAATCCATGCGAAGTAATATTAGGGTTGATATATACGCATTTATTTCTATCTAGGTAGTAAGTTAAAATGCAGATTAACTTGTAAAATAAATATGCATGGCAAGCAGCTTATTTTCAGCCAGTCTGTAGTCTAATAAACTTAGTAATCTCCCCTACAGCTTGGTGGCTAAGAACTTTACCTACTACGCAAGAGGTTGCTGTTTTGGCATCCAGCAGAAACTTAGCAGAAATAGTTATTTTCACTCAATAGCTAGGAAAAGAAGGAGGGAGGAAAGGAAGAAAAATTTACTGAGATTTGAACCAGCATCCTTTTAGTAGCCAAGCAAAACTTTTAGCTACTGTTTTAGGTTAATATTAAGGGATGTGGTGGCTAAGATGCTGACCTTGTTGATCAAAAAGTTCAGCAGTTCGAATACCTAGCGCTTTGGAACAGAGTGAGCTCCCGTGACTTATCCCAGCTTCTGCCAACCCAGCAGTTCGAAAGCACGTAAAAATGCAAGTAGAAAAATAGGAACCACCTTTGGTGGGAAGGTAACAGCGTTCCGTGAGCCTTCGGTGTTGAGTCATGCCAGCCATATGACCACAGAGACGTCTCCGGACAGTGCTGGCTCTTTGGCTTTGAAACGGAGATGAGTACCGCCCCCTAGAGGCGGGAACGACTAGCACATATGTGCGAGGGAAACCTTTATCTTTAGATTAATATCGCCAGTAGAAACTTTTGGATCAGAACAACTCCTGTTTCAGATGGCAGATATTCCGTCCTCTGTATCGCAGCCAAGGAATTGCTGAGATGAACCAGAAAGAAGGGGAGCACTGCAGCCAAAATATAATGCAACATAAAATAAATTTGCAATTGTGTGTGTGTGTGTGTGTGTGTGTGTGT